AGCCCGGCCATGTGCGTCCCCAGATCCCTGGCGTCATGAATTTGTCATACAACGTCGACCCCCCGGAGGTCTGGACCCCTTCCCGGGGACCCGTTTCTCGTCGACGAGAAACGGGTCCAGAGTCGTTCTTTGACGAGAAGCGGGTCCAGAGCCGTTCTTTGACGCTCCCAAGGCCCGGCAGAGGCCCCCAGGGGCCGAAGACAACGAAAAGCCTCCCGCCGTGACTTTTGCTCGTGACCCGAGGGGTTTGCGTTTCCAGCTTCCTCGGTGCCCTCCACCTCTTTCCAGAAGGGAAACAAAGACACAGACACAATTACTCGTCGATTCCCCGGAAAATATGGGAACATATGCACAACGGGGGGGAAGACGAAAACCCAGAAGACATAGGGAAATATGGGGAATCCTGGTATCTGTGTGTATGTTATGTTCGTGTGTCCCTGGGCCCCTTCACTCTTGTCCGACCGCTGCTGCGAGCTTCGCGGGCCTTCCCTCCCGGACCCGGCGAGCGCCCGCCCGCCCTCGCGCAGCGGGGGGGGGCGATCCGTGGGGGGCAGCGAGGGCCGTAGTGCAGGAAAGGGGGCCCGTCAGGCCGTCCCCCCCGGGGGGGAGGGCCTGTCGGGCCCGAAAAGTGCCCCTCTCTCCCCCCCCCCCGATGGTGATGGGCCTGTTTCCCACCACCACCACCATAAGTTGGAGGTGGAGGGGATCCTCCTCCTCCTCCTCCTCCTCCTCCTCCTCGTCCTCGTCCTCGTCCTCCTCCTCCTCGTCCTCCTCCTCCTTCCCCCCCATCCAACTTGCGGTGGTGGTGGTGGTGGAAGACAGGCCCATCAGAGGTGTCGTCCCCCCCGATGACAGCGTGGCCCAGCCCGTCGCCCGCGGCAGGAGGGCGTGCGGGGTGTCTTCGGCCGCCACAGCGGGCTCACAGGCCGCACGCCGCCCGAGGCCGCCGCCGCCCGAGGGGGACGGCGCGGGTGGTCGGGCGCACGCCGGGCACGCACCCCCTCGCGGAGCTCCTCCTCCTCCTCCTCCTCCTCCTCCTCCTCCTCCTCCTCTCCTCCTCCTCCTCCTCGTTTCCTCCTCCTCCTCCTCCTTCTTCTTATCCTCCTCCCTCTCCTCCTCCTCCTCCTCCTCCTCCTTCTTATCCTCCTCCTTCTTATCCTCCTCCTCCTCCTCCTCCTCCTTCTTATCCTCCTCCTCTTCCTCCTCTGTTTTCTCCTCCTCCTCCTCCTCCTCTGCGGCGTCTTGGCTTGCTTATCCGCCCACCCCTGAGATCCTGGCGACTCCATTTGTTCGAGCCGAGCGTTTTCGCATACTTTCGGGCTCCGGGGCCCTCCGGGATCGGTCGGGCTCGACCGGCGACGCAGAAAGATAGGGTCTGGGGCTCCAGGCGATTTCTCACAGCGTCTCAGATTCTTGAGACGTCGGGTCTCAGGGGCCAAAACATGTTCTGAGAGCCTTTCGTGGTCTGCACGAAATGTTCTTGACACATTTCTGGTTGAAAATTGTTGCTGTTTTCATGCGTCGGGTTGAGATGATGAGAACCATGTTTTTGCTCTTAGATCACGTTTTGGTTCTGAGAATAAGGCAGGCCATTAGGAATGCCGGGACGGTCGGTCCCTGCTCAATTTCGAGTCATGTACAGAAATCACGACGGGAGGCTTTTCATGACTTTCTGCCTCTGGAGGCTCCGGGCCTCGGGACCGCCCGAAAACGGCTCAGAATGAGAAACTTGTCCCAGGGAATGAGTCGAGACCTCCAGGGGTCGACCCTGTGCACCAAATCATGACGTCGGGGGTCTGGGCGTTGGTCGGGCGCAGGAGGGACCCTTCCCGAGGACGCGCAAATATGGATGCAGGCGCGCGGATCACTGCGGAGCAGACAACGACATAAGCATAAACTTTCGGAGGTTCGCGCGGATTTTTCCGGATCGGCGCTGGAGCCTCCCTGGAGGCGCCTCCAGCGCCGCCAGTGCAGCGCGGATCCGAGCAATCCGCACGGACATCCGAAAGCATGTGCTTATGTATGTCATTGCCTGCTTCCCGAGATCAGCGAGGGGTCCCGCTTCTGGGCAGAGTCGGCGCGCTCCGTCGCCACATCGGACGGGATCTGCCTCACATCTCGGGAGGGGGCTTGCCCCGACCCGTGGATCTGGCACCGGCGCGCCATATCCACGGATCCCTAATCCATGCCAGCGTGTGCCCCCCTTTTCGCCAGAGCGGCCTTTGGGTGCGCGGCTGCTGTGGGACGCGGGGGTGTGTCGAGCCTGGGCACGCAGGCCGCTGCTGCCGCCCTGCGCGCAGGGGGCCGCAGCACACCGCGCACCAAAGATCGCTCTTGCCCAGGGTCGCTCTGGCGTGCAGCCGCGGTGGAGGGCAGCGGCGGACAGCCGATCGCAGTGTGCACGCAGCCTCTGTCCCGCGTGATCCAGACCCCTCCGCGCTGCGAAACAATTATCCCAGTGCGACCCTACCTAGGAGTTGGAACCCCTAGGAAAGCAGCATTAGTAGTAACAGTAACGCTAAGCTAAAGCTAAGCTAAAGCTAAACCACAGCTAAGCTAAAGCTAAGCTAAAGCTAAGCTAACGCTAAGCTAAAGCTAAGCTAAAGCTAAGCTAAAGCTGAGCAGCAGCTAAGCTAAAGCTAAGCTACAGCTAAGCTCAAGCTAAGCTAAAGCTAAGCTAAAGCTAAGCTAAAGCTAAGCTAAACGCTAAGCGAAAAGCTAAGCGAAACGCTAAGCTAAAGCTGAGCTACAGCTAAGCTAAAGCTAAGCTAAAGCTAAAGCTAAAGCTAAAGCTCCCAGGGGAGGGGGGGGGACCGCTCCCAGGGGACTGGGGGAACCGCCCGGGGCGTGTTCCACTGCCCGGCCCCTTTAAGCTAAGAGAGTAAGAACCCTTCTAGGCAGAGCCTAGGTAGGGAAAAACTCATTACGGACTGTTTTTGGCAGTGTTCGGCCCCTGGGGGGCCTCGCGGGGCCCAGGGGTCGTCAAATAACGGCCAGGGATGAAAGTCCAGTCCCGTGGACCGGGTCCAGACCTCTGGGGCCTGCGTTGCGAATACATCACGGCGTCGGGGGTTTGGGAGGGGGGGGAGGCCATCAGTTGTATCATGAAGTTGGATACATATGCTTGTCGCGGCCAGCCTGGGCCAGGGCCAGAACCTTTCCCCGTGACGCTTCGGGTCCTCGAGGCCCAACCAGTTGCCTAGGGGGAAAAAAAAACGCCTTTCTCCGAAGGCGAAGGAGAAGGTCGGAAGAACCAACTCCTTAAACCACCTGGGCCATGAGGTTCGAGTGGGACTGCTGCGCTCTCTCCTTTTTCTTCCCTTGTTGCATCCTTCCCTGCTCCCCCTCCCCTCTTCCTGCTCCCCCGTTGTGCTCAGGCTGCTTCTCCTCGTCCTCTGTTGTGGGTCCGATCGCCTCGCCGTTGTTCGTGACTTGAGGCCGAGGTCATGGAACGCTGACCTCAAGACCGCCGAGCACTGGGTGTTGACCGCCCTCTTGAATGTGCAACCCCGCAATATTCCAAGATAATGTCCTTGACGCTTCGCGTAATCATCCTCACCAGCCCATCAAGAAACAGTTCCAGGGCGAGATATCGTAAGAGAGGCAGCGGGGCAACACCAGTGAAGCAAGAAGGGAGCATACTAATCAAAGCGAAGCTCAAGTGAGGCTCAGCGGTCCTCAACAATAATCAACCTGGGGCCTTCTTGGAGCTTCTTCGGGTCGTGTTGGAGGCCTCTGTTTTTTTCGAGACTTTCGATGGTGTGCAGTTGTACATGATACGGTCGGGCGTCACCTGTAAACCTCATGCAGCGACTAGACGGAGGAGGAGGAGCAGGAGGAGGAGGAGGAGGCGACGGAATCATTTCGTTGGTGCAGCGTTGTGCATGCTGCACGGTTGGGCGGCACGGGCAAACTTCATACAGCGTTTCAAAGGATGTTGATGATGATGAGGAGGATGAGGATGATGATGATGAGGATGATGGTGATGCTGCTGATGATGATGTCGTTGATGATGCTGATGATCGTGATGATGCTGATGTTGATGTTGATGATGATGATGATGATGATGATGTTGATGCTGTTGATGCTGATGATGCTGATGATGGCGATGATGACGATGCTGACGGTGATGATCATGATGCTGCTGATGATGCTGCGGATGATGATGGTGATGATGATGATAATGTTGATGGTGTTGCTGATGCTGATGATGATGATGATGGTGGTGATGATGATGCTGATGATGCGGGTGATGATGATGATGATGAAGATGATGCTGATGATGATGATCATGATGATGCTGATGCTGATGCTGATGCTGATGATGATGATGATGATGACGATGATGATGATGATGATGATGATGATGATGATGATGTTGGTGGTGGTGGTGATGGTGGTGATGATGATGATGAATGAGGAGGAGGAGGAGGAGGAGGAGGAGGAGGAGGAGGAGGAGGAGGAGGAGGAGGAGGACGGGGAGGAGGAGGAGGAGGGGGAGGAATAGGAATCGAATGAGGAGACGGAGGTGCACGGTAAGCAAACGAAATGAGAAGCAGGCTTGCCAGTAGGTGCCCCACGAATGTTTCTTTATCCTTCGATGGCCCTGCGGACCCACAGGAGCTCGGGGGCACCCTGGGAGAAGCTCAAGCATTGACGCCGAGTGAGCCCCTGTTTTTCAGAGCGAGGTCCCCCATGGTGCTTACCCGCTGCAGGAGGGGGGGTAGCCAGAGGAGGACCCCCGGGCCTTCTCGACCATGCCTCGGCTGAGACGAGGCGCTGCTGGAGCTTGTCTTCATGTGCCTGGCCAGGGTCGTCGAGGACGAGCTCGGCCCAGGAGGGCGTGCGTCCTTTCTATTGGCCCTTCCTCCTTCCAGCCGTGTCGACCAGGAAGCTCGCTGCTTGCAGGACGCCTCCCCCGTCTCGTCCTGCGGGCTCCTTCCACCACCTCCACCCCCTCCTTCCCTTGCCTCCCACTCCTCCTCCTCAACCTCCTCCGCCTCTTCCGTAGCCAGTTGGGCTCAAGCCGTCTGGGCTCGCCGCGGCGTTGGCCTTTCTGTCCCCCTTTGTCCGCTGGCGGCCGCTACCAAATCTTCCCATGGCGAACATCGAGGCCAAGAAGAAGGAGTGGACCGCGTGCTTGGCAAAGAGCGTCGGCGTCCCCAGCAAGTGCGAGAAGCTGCAGAACGAGCTGACTGCCATGGCGAAGGCGAGCAACACTGACTGCTGCATTGGCCAAACCGTCAACCTCATGAAGTGCACCGCCAGCAGCCACAAGGCGGCAGGCTGCGCCGAGGAGTTCGTCGCCATGCGCGAGTGCAACCGTGCCAGCGGAGCGCAGCTGGTGCGCGCGAGCTCTGGGTACGACGTCGCCCCGGGCAAGGGCGGCCTCTTCGAGGGGCTGGCCTCCACGCTCACCGGGTGCTCTGCGCCGGTGCGGACGCTGGAGGGCATGCGGGCGTTTGGCCAGGAGTACGCGGCCAGCCTCGGGGTGCCCGGAGGCCATGTCCGCTTCTGAGCGCTGCGCCCCTGGGGCGCAGGCCGCTCCAGAGCGCCCGCGCCGCGAGCGGCCTCGGCACGCCGCGCGCGCTCGCGCTCCGGGCAGTGCCCTGTCCCTGCTCGGCTCGCGGCTCCCGTCATGTCCTCTGGTTCGTCCATGGCCGCCCTCTCCTGCTCCCTCTCGTCCTCATATCCCCCTCCCCCACGTCCCCCCCAGGTCGAGGTGATCCAGAGCCGATTCGATCGTCGGGATGGTGGCTCCTTTGAATGCTTCGACACCGATGGGAGCATAGTGTCTTGCTGGCGATTGCGGCACTGGCGTCCTGGGTCGCCCGCTGAGGCGCGGTCAGGGGCAACGCTAAGGGGGGTAGGCTCCGAGGAGGGGAGTGCATTACATAGCCCATTCATCGCCGATAGGGGCCCGATAGCCCCACCCCCCAGGAGCGTGCGGTGTCGCTATCGGGGGCCCATCGCCCCTTCTATTGCATCGGCGACGTAACGCAGATTCCAGGTCGACGTTCCCCCCCCCCCTTGAGCCAGCCCCCCCGATCGTTGTCTTGAAGAGGTGATCCTGGCTCGCGCTTTGCGGCCTGGGCCAGGCCTGGACCTCCAAAGCGTCGGACGAGTCACCGCGGAGGTTCTTCAGTGCCTCTGCCTCGGGGGGGCCCTCGCCGGGGACCCCGGGGCCGTCAAGAAGCGGCTCGGGAGGAGAAGCTGGACCTGGGGGGGGGTCGAGACTTGCGTGCGTCGACGTCCAGATTCTTCCATGACGTCGAACCCTGGAGGTCTCGACCCCTGGAGATCTCAAGTGTTTTTTCATCCCGAGTCTTTTTATTACGCTCCCGAGGGCTGGTAAGGGCCCCCAGGGGCCGAGAATATCCGGAAGCCTCCCGCTGTGACTTTTCCTTTGCCTGAGGGAGAGGGTCGCGTCTTCTGCAGGCCCCGTCGTTATGCCGTGATGGGAACGAACCAGCACGTCGAGTCTCTGCGGACAGTGGCCCGTCGTCCAGGCGGCGGCGCTGGAGCGCGAGGCGGAACGCGCGCTGCGCGGCGCAGAGCGCGAAGCCGGGTGTCGGCCGCGCGCAGAGGGGGGTAGGGGGAGGGGGGAAGGCTTCTTAGAAGCGCCCCTGCTTAGCAGGCGAGGGCCTTCTCTGCAGATGCAGGGATGGCGCCTTCTAATAGGCAGCCTTCTTCTAAGAAGCCTTCCCCCCTCCCCCTATACCCCGTTGTACGGCGCCAGGGGGGGCCTGGGAGTTCGGTCGGCACGGCTGCGATGCATCCGTGGCCGGACGTGTGTGAGGTCGCAGGCGTGGTGTGGTAGCAGGGTCAGAGGAAAGGCTCGGCAGGATCTGGCAGTGTCTCAGCAAAGCTGGTGCTCGCCAGGCGGGGGTCCCTTATGGGCAAATTCTCCACCACCACTACCATCTGTACGACGGGGAGGAGGTCCTCCTCCTCCTCCTCCTCCTCCTCCTCCTCCTGCTCCTCCTCCTCCTCCTCCTCCTCTTCCTCCTCCTCTTCCTACATATGGTAGTGGTGGCGGAAAGTGGGCCCATCAGTCCCCGCGCCAGCGTTCCTTGGCCATTCCATCTCAAGCATGCCCTGCTTGGCGGGGCATCGCCGTCGGCACGTGGCTGGCAGGCATTGCCAAGTCTGGCAGCACCAAGCGTCTGACGTTTCTGGCCATGCGGCGGAAGGCAAGCTTTCTAGCCTCCACGACGGAGGACCATGGATTGGAGGACACAGTGGCGCCCTTGCTGCGCGAGATGAAGCGCACCGAGCGCATAGAGCCCGCGGCTCCGAGGAAAGGCGACCAACACCTCGACGGGCGCCGCTGCTGCGGCAGGGGCGTCATCATTCCTGATTCGGATAACTTCTGGTATTCGGCGTGGGAGTTTTACATGCTCTCCCTGCTCGGTTTGAGCTGCTTTCTGGTGCCCCTGGACGTCGTGCTCGAGAAGGGCAGGCACGAGTCGCCCTTCACCGCAGCCTCGAACATTATCGACATCTCCTTTACGATCGACATAGTCATGAATTTCTTCAAGGCCTACGAGAGGGTGAACACACTTGGAGGAACGGAATGGGAGGACGATAACTGGCTCATTGCTCGGCACTACTGTTCACTACCTTTCAGTGATTCCCGCGGTCAGGCTGGCTGGTTCTGGATTGACCTTCTCGCCACAGGACCGCGATTGCTGTCCATACTGTTCGCCAGTGTCCACCAACACGTTTCCGGTGTGAAGGCCATGGCGATGCTCAGGGCTCTGCGGATATTGCGCTTCCTGCGTCTGCATCACATGGAACGGCTCTCGCACTTCATGCTACGAATCAACGTGAGGTTGGGCTTCTCCCTCAACGTCCTGGAGATAGTCAGGTCCGCATTTCTTGTATCGCTCACCTGCCACTGGCTTGCGTGCCTGTGGGTCGGCATCGAGAGCATTCACTGGAGGGGCGTCTTCTTCGAGCTCGCGGGCTTCACGTCGGAAAAGTCGTGGCTGTCGCACCTGGTCGATCAGTCTGGCGACCCGTGCGCCCCGTCGGTGGAGGAGGACGGCATGTGCGTGTACATGTTGGCTCTGTATTGGTCTGTCATGACCATCACCTCTGTTGGCTACGGCGACATTGTCCCTCAGAACCACACCGAGTACGTTTTCAGCGTCTTCGCCACGATGGCACTCGCGCTTGTCTGGGCCTACGTGATCGCCACGGTCGTTTCCATAGTCAGCAATTTCAATGCCGCTGCCCAAACCTTCAATCAGCAGATGGACGAGCTCAACGACGTGTGCGTTGGGCGGCAACTGCCTCACAAATTGCAGGTCCAGCTGCGAGACTACATGACCATGTCAAGCCATATACCAAAACAGATGGCCCAGATCAAGATGCTGGGCGAGCGCCTTTCAGATAGCCTCCGGGCCAAGATCACGGAGCACACGCGCGGAAGATTCCTAAACAAAGTTTGGTGGGTGCAAGATTTGCCACCCGTCGCGAAGCATGAGATCGCGCAACGCATGGAGGTGCATTTCTTTGGGGCCCACGAGGACCTCAGCTTGTCCTACAAGATGCTCTTCGTCAGGGACGGGATCCTGAGGGTGAACGGTCTGCGAGTCCTCGGGCACGGGGACGTGTGGGGCGACGTGGACGTGTTGCTCGAGACAGAGGAGCTCGTCAGGGATCACCTCCGCACGATCTCTTTTGTGGACTCCGTGACGCTGTCGCAGCTCGCGCTCCGCGAGGTCTGCCAGGAGTTCCCGGCCGTCGACCGGAGGCTCCGCCGCGCCCAGGTGCGCTGCGCGGTGTTCCGTGCTTTCGTCCGCACCGCCCAAGCAAGAAAGTGCGGCCTCTTCTCGGCTCACGACGTCATAAAGTCGGGCAAGAGGAGGGGCTCCTTCGTGACGTCGATGCCGCTCAACAGAAAGGAGGAGGCCACGCAGGAGCTCGGGCTGCAGCTGGAACAGCTGGTCGCCGCACAGGAGGAGATGGCCAGGCAGTTCGGCGAGATGCAGCAGGAGCTCGACGCCTTGGCCAGAGGCGCAGGAGACAAGGCACAGAGCATGTCCCGGCAAGCGCTCGGACTGGACCCGCCGCAGCTGTCTCGCTGGAGGTGAGGGCATCGGCTGCTGCCCGGGCGCGCCTCTCGCGTTCGCTCCTGCCGCGCCCCGAAGCCTGGGCCAGGGCAGGCGGCGAAGAAGTCAGCGGAGGCCGTGCGTCTGATCACAGGCGGAGAAACGACCCCGACCCATCCAGCCCGCGTCTACTGAACAGGCATGGGCCCTCACGAAGTAGTCTTGCCCTGTTTGAGATTCTCCTCCGGCGGGATTGCTGGAGGGCTTCCCTTGTGTGCGGGGAGGATCTCATGAGGGTGGTTCTTGTCCTCTCTGTCCAGGTGCCTGTGTCACCTCTCGCCACTGTGTCAGCCCAGCATTCTGGGTGGCGACTGCTTGAAGGGGCCGGGGAGGCCGTCACGTGTGACACCTCGTGCCACCGAGGCTGGGAGAGCCATGATGAGGATCAGGATCAGGATCAGGATAATGATGATGCTGACGGTGATGATGATGTTGCTGCTCGTGATGATGATGGTGATGGCGATGGTGGTGTTGATGTTGCTGATGTCGATAATCGCAAATACGAGTATGATGATGATGCTGATGATGATGATGAGGAGGATGGTGAGGATGATGATGATGAGGTTACGATGGTGATTGATCATGATCATGATTATGATGAGGGTGCTGAGACTGATAATGGTGCTGAACTTTAAGGGTAGCTCTTTGGGAGATGTTACAGTATCGGGAGCATAGCTCGCGCGCCGCTGCCTTGGGCTCAAGGCACGCGCGCCCTATTTGCCCGGACACCGCGAGTGTTCGCTATGTGCTGGAAAGATCATTACATCGATCTTATCCTATCTTACCCATCCACCCCTCATACTGTACCTTCACAGCAGAGCGATGGATGCAATTTGCCAGGCTATATGCCCTATTTGAGTTACCAGGCTCACTTTCGACTTGGTAGCGGAGCTGGCCGCACTCTCGTGTGGTCAGCTCTTGCTCTTCTTAGCCTCATATTCTTCGGCACGATCTTCGTGACCACCTACCACCCTGCGCCACCACTCCCAGTACGTTTACGAGGATCTATTCAAGAGCAAGAAGCAACACGAGAGGTACGACGTCTAGACGACCAAACTGGTACCATATACGCTTCATCATTGCGTTACTACCAACCGCTCGGCAACGAGCTAACAGCGCAATACTTGAAGCAAGGGCGGGGAGACCCGCCAGACAGAGCGCCTCGAAGACTCGACAAGGCGCTATCCCAGCGCGACAACGCGCATCATAATCGTCCTTCGTTACACATTCTCGGGCTAATCGTTTTCGCTATCATATGGTTCGCGCTGGGGGCAGCAATCGGACACATGCGTCGTGGAGATAACAGCACCGATGGGCAAACACATGGCCCATATTGGGACCCTCAAGGTAATGTACCTTTTCGTGAGTACATCTACGAGGTCAACGCATGGCTCAACGTTACAAGCGGACGTATGACGCCACAGGCCCAAGCGGCCGCAATACAACGCGGCCTAGGTGGCCTAGCGAGGACACTCGCCATGAGGGTACCGCCTGACATTATAAACTATGGTGCTGACATTGATGGGGTCCACACAGACCCAGTAACTTACATCATGCTCCTCCTCAGCATGAAGTTCGAACGCCTGGAAGATGAGCGACAGCTCACTTCCGGCACACAACTCATCGACTTCCATGTGCCTCACGGGGAACGAATCGATGTCACTCTTACCCGATTCGAAATGGCCCGACTTGAGGCACAGTCGGTGGGATTCGACCTTCCTAACTTCCAACTGCTAACCACTATCCTATTCCGCGCCTTAGGCGTCGGCAACCAGAAAGCCATGCAACTCTTACAGCCACTCAACCACCAAATGCCTCGAACACAACAACAATATGATGAGTTGCTGGAAAGGATGCGTTCGATAGGCCACCTATCCGAACGATCTCCTGGCAACATAGGATCCGTGTTTGGAAGAGGAAGGGGATCTGGTAGTGGAAATTTCTACACTACCTTGACTACTGAAGCCCAGCCTGGAAACGGGCCCTCAAACATATGGGCCGATGACCCAGGAGAATCCACTGCTTTATTAGCAGGGGATCGATCACAACCAAGCTGGGCAACCAGCCCTCCTTCTAGAGAACCACAACCACACCGCTCGCTATGGGGGGAATCAAATCCCCTAACCGACGGTGTATCCACCTATTTAGGATACGAAGATTTCGACTCCGGCACCGATACAGACACTATATCATCAGATGGTGTTGAAGCTCTAGATTGGTCAGATATCATGAATATGGATAACGACAATCAGCGTGCTGAGCACTTATTCTGGTTGTTACAACAGGCTAAACGAAGGTGGAGGAGGTTCACACGAAAACCAGTGCGTCGTGTTAGAAGGAGGATACGCAGAAGTTTCAAAGGAAAGGGTAAAGGCAAGCGTGGTCGTCGGAGGTTGAACGGGCGAGGTGTCGCGGCATTTCTCCAGAGGCTCTCAGATGAACAACATGATGAGATATTCTTTGGGGGAAAAGGCCGTGGTAAAGGCCGTAGAGAGACCTCAGGTAAAGGTAAAGGTAGGCGGGGAAACCCGCGAGGTAGAGACGGCCAGGTTCTCAAATGCCATGAATGTGGTAGTTCCGATCATCTTGTGCGAGATTGTCCAGCGAAGGGAAATGGAAAGGGCATGTCGTCCGAAGTCCATTTTGGCTCAAGTGCACCACCCATTGAATATCTGAGCCTCCAGGACTTTGAGGCTATGGAACAGATATTTGTCACTTGGGTTGTTGGCATGGACAACATCGACGAGCTCGAGGGGTATGGTCATGGATTGTACGCGCACTACCTCGAGTACGTCCGCCGGTTCGTCACGGGCAGTAACGAACTCACTCCCGTGGAACACGGTACGCTTGGAAACGAGCCTCTTTCTTTCTTCGACTGGATGTTCGGGAACCCAGGCAACATCATGGCCAACGAGAGCGACGACGAGGACACCACTATAGAGGCTTCGCCTTCCGAGGTTCAACGGAACCTCGAACCTCCGCCCGAAATCCCGCCTGGAAACACGCCTTCTTTGATGGGAGAATATCCCCAGACCACTGAAGACTTAATTGAAATGGAGTCTCAGGCATTTGTTCAGGCCTTCATTGCAGGCGAACCAGATATTCCGTTCATACCTCCTGGTTCGCTTGCTCCAGGCGAATATGGACCACGTACCCTTTTGCAGACCCTCATGAGGATGCATGAGATACTTACAATTGGTTATCCTGAGAGTCAAGAACACATCGAAGCTGGCATCATGACAGAACAGGATAATGATGCTTGCGGTAGTTCAGAGCTACTTTTGGCAGCTCTGACTCTCATTGACAGCGTGTATCCTCAGGAAGTGCAGAGACACTTGATATACTCCCGTGGTAGATGGCGTCGTGCTCTGGAAATGGCGATGGCTATGCGCGGTCATGATCTTCCTCCGCCAGGATGGGGTCTCCAGGCGGTGGGAATGAGGCCAAACCATACGGCCATGCGTAACATTGCTGGGCAGCCTATGCTCGGCGACGAGCCTGAGCCGACAACAATGCCTCCTACTCCGGGACAGCCGAGCGACGCCCAGACGCCGGCTATGCAGGGAAACCTGCCTGTACCAGATACGCCAATGGCCATCATCATTGGTAGTTCGACATCAGAAGAAGTAGATGGCGATGGCTGTGGGTTAGATGAGGATGACGTCACCATCCTCATGATGGACATGAATTGTGAGGAAGAGGTTGACTTCGATCCTGACGAGTCTGAATCATCATCACCATCGGCACAAGCACCATTTGCGCCGAGCTCCACCCAGCAGGGAGACCTGCCTCCATCGGACGATCCATCTGGGATCGCACAGGAGCCTCCTCAGGCACCTCCACCGGGTGCCGCTCCTGCTGCTTCGGCAGCTTCTTCTGATGAGAACACCAGAAGGTCTCGTTCCCATGCGCGCGTCAGAGAAGAGCCACATCCACAGGCTCGACTTCCTCGTGAGTGGAGACAGGCTGGCCCAAAAGAACACGCTCTCAGGAGAGGTGGCCAGCTACTTCCGCACAACGACCCAAGACGCCGAAAAAGGGGAACACTCGGCCTTCGGCCAGGGCAACCCTGCCTATAGGGACAGCGATGGCAAGCCCATCCGCGGAGGCTACCAGCTTGCAACAAACATCCGCCGCCCTGAAATTCAAGAAGTGCGGACTCAGTTACGAGATATTATCGCGGCGCGCAAGCAGTATAGGCCTCACGCAGCATGCGGACCTTGTTTCCAGCCGTTCCAGAACCACAGGCCAGGATGCCCCGTTGGCAACAACGAAGGCCTGAGCCCCAAGAGGGGCAAAACCCCTCATAAAGAGGGCCATCCGCCACTTATCCCGATGACGCAGGACGAGATCGCGGAAGTGAATCATCGTCTCGGGATTTTGAGCCACTTGGATCCGAAAGAAGAAGAAAAGCCTACCCCGGTTCCAAGGGGACTGGTAGCCATGACCCAGGAAGAGAAAGACGCGCTCTACAGTCTTCCTAGTATGCGAGGAAACTCGCCCGGCGTCTCTAGCCAGTCCCAACAACCAGAACCGACAATCAAGGATGAGATAAAGGCTCAACGTGTGGCGGAGGATGAGGAGCGTATGCGGACAGCAGAAGACCGCACTCGCGAGGCAACTCGCAAGATGTTGGAAGATTCTAGTAAGATCTACATGAAGAGGGCTACGAGGCCCCCACTCCCACTAACTTCGAAGGCCAAGAGTGAACCCCCGACACCTAAGCCGCCCCCGGTGCCGAAACCGAAGACGAGCCCTCAGGACCCTGGGCCAGACGCGCATATGGAGGTGCCTCGATCTGCGACGCCGAAGCCGCCGATTGGCGCAACTCCTCCACAAGCGTCTTTGCCCAAGCAGCAACCTCAGGACCCTATGGAGGAACGAAGACGCCCGCTTAGTCGCAGCAAGTCCATTGCGAAAGGGGCGGCAGCTTTCGAGCGCAGTGGGTATGCACCTGCGCCAGCTTCGCCTGTGGCGGCTCG